TAATTCATTCATTTAATCAACAAACATTTATAGAACACCTACTATGTGCCAGGTACTGTGTTAAGGTACTAGAGAAAAGAATAATGAGCAAAATAGACATGGTCTCCCCGCCCTCATGCAACATACAAAAGAGTTATGTAATCACATTAACACATTAATCGAGATAATTCTACAAATATATAACTACAAATCATGATACATGCTACCAAGATAATACACTGGAACCTACTCACTCTATTGGGCTCGGGAAACTTTCTCGAGAAAGTAACATTGAAATGAGATCTGAAGGATATGTAGGCTTTAGGGATAGGGGAGGAAGAGCAGCTCAGAAAAGTGGAATAATATTAGCAAAGACTCGGGAACGAAAAAGCTGCCAGCATTAAAGAAAAAAAAATATTCTGACACTTGTTAAAAAAGTAGGACAGACTTCATTCAGGACTTTTGCAATAGGCATCCAGACTCTCATCCAGGCAACAGGAGAGAAAGATCAGGTTCAACTCCAAATCCAAATGGGCAAATGAAGATAAAAATGACTAAGAGGTAACATTGAGGGTAGGAGGATTCTTGCTGAAGGCAGGCCAAGGACTGATACATCGAAGGTGAGAGATGAAGAACTTGATCGGATACCATGGGTAGGGAATTCTCTAAACTGAGTCAGCAGGATTAATTACTAAGACTGGGCTATGCAGACCCAGCAAGGCAGGGGAGGGGAGGGGATGGGGCGAATCACATTGAGACCTAGTCAAGAACAGAGCTCAAAAATGCTGACCAGAGTTTGATCAAGCAGAGAATCTCCATCACCAACTGTCTGGGGCAGAGGGGCATTCGATGACTCTGGAGAGAGAAGCCGGAACCAAATAATGAGCACTTTGTAAGTCAGGTTATCCTAAGAGCACTAAAAAGTTTTAACTAGGAAGGAGGGGGTATGACATGATTAGATTGTGTTTTCTTAAAATCTGCTCAGCTTGCTGCGTGGAGAATGAACTGGAAGGGGCTAGAATGAATGCTAGAACACCACTTGGAGAGCTATTGTCACTGTCCTGGACAGAGACGAGATACCGGACGGACTGAGCCAGTAATGATGGTGGAAACAGGAGTAAAAAGACGAGATATTCAGAAGGTAGGACTGACAGGACTCAGTGATAGATCGGCGGTAGAGAGAAGAGCGTTCGGTAAGCTTCCTGGTATCTCATTTCATCTTCACTACAACCTTGTGAATCACATTATTTTCTCGTTGAGTTCGAAACTCAACGCAGTGCCCGGGTCATACAGCTGGTACGTCCGGCTCAAAAGGAACTCTCTCCACGTGCTACAGAGGAGTCAAGCAGCCTTCCTTGAAGAAGGCCCCACCCCCACCTCTGTGCCGCTGAAAGCTGTGCCTCATCAATACCTCTGGCAGTGGGTGTCACCCACAGCGTGGTGACCTACGCAACAGGAAAGGAAATTAAAATACTATCGCAGAAGCTGGGTGCCGTTTGAGTCGTGGACCTCCGAGGATGGTACAAATTGATTCCTTTGTTGAAGAGAGTGACTTCATGGCCTTATCTGGCTATGAAAATTATGGCCCCTGGGTAGAACCGAGAGGAGAATGGTTTGGGCAACAGGAATTAAATGCTCTGCATGACAAAGTTAGAGGAATTTTGGAGCAGAGACCAGGGCCACCACTGTAACCATGGTGTCTAGCACACAGGAACTCAATACATTTTGTTGAAGCTCTGGCAATAGGGCCCAGAAATCTGTGATTTAACAAGACCTTCAGGTGATTTCTATATACCCTCAAACCTGAGAAATTTATCTTTAAAACCCTTTTTAACACTGCCCATCCCATCCCCAGACCCTCAAATCCTCAGTGAAAAGCTGCTACACACAAGTCTTTTACTGGTTGTGCTTTGGGCAACAAAGGACAAAGACCAGCCATCCTAGAGTTTCTGACAATGACCAGCAGGCAAAGAAAGTCCAGGCCGAGGCAGAGTTGGGGCAAGGTTAAAGCAGCTGGCTACAGCACAAGCAGATCTGAGAGCAAATGTGAGACACACCCGCAAACGTGTAGTGAACACTCACTATTTCCTTCCCAAATGGCCATCTCCATTTTTCTCCTGGGAATGAATGAATGAATGAATGAATGAATGAATTTTAG